ATAACTCGTTTCACTATTATAAAAATATTTACATCCTTATATGTGAAAATTATGCATAAACAACGAATTATTGTTTTTAAAGTTATTTAATCCTGGTCAACTATTATTTCTTTGTTCTACTAAATTGCATAAAAAAATTTTACTATCAATAAAATTGAACAGTAAATAATTTCAGTCAAAAACTGCTTTTAATCACTTTAAATTTTCTGTTAAAATTTTTTATTCGAATTACAGAAAATTCGAGCAAAAAATTTTTTTATAAAAATTCGAAACCGGTTAAAACCGGTTTTCTGGAAATATTACTATTCGAAAACCGGTTTTTTTAAAATGTCGGTTTTTGTATAAACCCTAGTAAGAATAACTGCAAACAAAAAAATATGCCGGAAAGAGCAAAACTTTCATTTTCTTAGAAAAGAATAAATAACATTATATGAAGCAAAGCTTTTTTTGTTTTAGACGAAATGTTATGAGTTTTAATATCAAGATATTAGTTATACAAGGAACTATGAAATAACTATTTTTAGCTACGTATTTATATCTGACTTATTTTGATGGATCAAGAATTAATTTAGACTCCAACATGATAAACAGTTTCTGGATCGGAACCTCCCTGAAAGTGTAGATATGTAATTTTTGACTATATATATATACTTACCTGTCAACTTGTAATGTAAAATCTTTTCTTAATGACTATTTACGATTTTCATTTAAATCTTTGATCAGCTTAAGTGTTAAAACAAGTTTTTACAATGTGTTAAAAAACAACTCATTATACGATAACAAGCACGTGGCTGTAATAAGAAATAATGCAAATAAGTTTTTATCATGCATCTTCACGTGTATAGTAACTACTAAAAAAACTATTTATTAGGCAGGTAGCTACACAGATATTTCGTTTATTATTCGGTTTTAATATTAATTTACCTCGGTGAAAGCAGTTAACGAAATTTTAACCAAATTGATTACAGTAAATATTGTACCTACTCTTGATTTATTAAGAAAAATTATTACCTATTCCGTATGCTTTTCAGTTAACAATGTTGATCCTCTGACAATTACAAACACCATACTGTAAGATATTTAATTCGTTAGATGAGGTTAAGTTTATCATGTCAAGCTAAATGACTAAGAAGCAGATAAATATATAATCTCTATCCCTAACAAATACTTAATGTCATCATCATTATCATCATCATCATAAAGTCGTCAGTCCTGAAACTGGTTAGACACGCACCTCTACTCTCTCCTATCCTGAGCTAATCTTCGCATTTTCCTAAAACTGGTACATCCCACATCATCTTTAACTATTTCTGAACAGTAAACTAATCTAGGTCTACCTCTATTCCTCGTAGCTCGCTCCTGCTTCTGCTTCTAATATGTCTATAACTAGCCCTTCATGCCTGAGAAGGCGTCTTACCGACCTACATCGCCTGTTTCTTATTGACTTCCATAGCTCCATATGTTCTCCTATTCTTTATAATATCTCACATTTTTCCAACCTTTTTTATCCACGATATCCTCATCATTCGCCCACATGTCTAATCCAAATCTAATCATGATATAAAATAAAACTCAATAAAATTCTTTATAGGAACGGTTTGCAAACTTAAACTGCTTCGAGGATTTATGATGAGAATAACCAACATTCAATCACAATACTGTATTCTTCTTTTAATGTAAGTAGAAATGACATATTATGGAAACATCCATAAAATAAAAACTAAATTATCCACTAGAACAAGGAGGACTTAGAGTTAGCTTTAAATAAAATGGAAGCGGTTCTAACAGATCAGTACTGTATGAATATAAATAAAAGTAAAACTAAAATACTGGTATGCAAGAGAAGAAATAGTAGGGAAAGAGGGAATATAAAGATAGGAGACGAAAAATTAGAAGAAGTGGCTGATTTTAGATATCTAGGAAGTCAGATAAGTCAGGACGGAAGAAGTAGTAAGGATATAAAGCAGAGGATATCGCAGGGTCGTGTCGCCTTTAATAAAAAGAAGTCACTTCTATGCTCACGAACGGTTAATTTAGAAATTCGGAAAAGGTTATTAAAGGTATATGTTAGGAGCGCGGCGTTTTACGGGTGCAAAACATGGACAGTGGGCGCGGCAGAGAAGATAAGGTTAGAAGGGAATGATGAGGATAATGTGGTTAGGAAAGGTTAGAAATGAAGAGGTATT